AACAGTATAACAGTACTGCAACAATGACTTCTCGCGAATTCACATCTACCCAACCTCAAATTGTGACTGTAGCGAAACCCAAAGTAAGTGACTTCGCAGGACAAGTGTTCATCGGAGCTGAAATCCGTGATGCCGTATCGGGTGTTTCTGGAGTTCCAGCCACGCAACATGAAGATGCAGTGACACAAGTTGAGATAGAACAGCTGATTACGAAAACGTCATCTCATGTTGAAGAAAAGCGAATTGTAAATGTCACCTCCTCAACAGAAACCCCATTAGTGGAAGCAACCACAACTGCGACAATGACTGAGGTTAGAATTGAACCAGCACAGCCTGTTGTTGTGCATTCGATTCCTCCAGCTCCACAGAAAATAATAGAGACTGAAACCATTGGAATTCAATGGCTTGCAGATTTAAAGGCTGTAGAAGTTCAAGCCGTCGGTGAGGTCAAGGAAAAACCCATAACTCTATCATTCGCATCCCAAGTAGATTTGATTCCATTCCAAACGGCAGTAACAACGCTTATTTCAGAAGTACCACGCTCAGATTACAGATCTACTGCAACTATAACGGAAACTATGGTGGAACCTACCAAGGTTTCAGTTCAGGCTATTCGACCACCTCAGTCTTCTCCGATAACCACCTCGAGTAAATTGTACCTGGACCAAATCAATACTGGAATCTCACCTCCAACAATGGAGCTTTCAACTACCGTGTCGTCAATTCCAAAAGTATCAATGAGTTCACTCGGTATCATGACTGAACTAATGGCTGTGCAAGCCGATGGATGGACTCAAGCAGATTACGTGGAACCTGAGACAGTAATACAGAGTCGAATAGACATATCCACAGTTGAAACAGCACCCCCGGTTCAACCTACAATGGTCCGAATTGGCGGTTTGCAGACACCCTACCAAACACGTCACGAGGGAGTAACATCAGAAGTAGAAGTGGAAAAACCACTTGCTAAGGTAGAAATCTCTTCCGCCCAATGCCCTATCCCAGCTAAACTCACTCTAGAAACAGCTACTTCTCAATGTATTTACATTCCTGAACGCTATCAGGCTCCTACAAAAGAAGTGCCTCCACCAAAGGCAGTCATGCGCACCCATGAAGTACAAGTTTCCTTACCTCAAGCAGAGCTAATATCGAGTGCTTTGGAAGTAGGCCACGTTGACGTTGGTATTCCCGCTCCAGAAAGGAGGGCTGTGGTAAATCGAGGAGTTGAGACAATCACAATTGAAGAACCTGAGCCTACGATCAAACCTGTAGAACATATAATTGTTAGTGAGGCACCTCCGTTGGTGGTCCAGCCGTTGCCTGTCAAGATAAGATACGGTAAAATCGAAACACCGATTCAGGAACGATACGAGGTTATTCATGAGCAACCAGTGAAGTTGGAGAGTATGGCAATAGCTAATGCCGGTATCCGAGTTATTGACGAGGTGTTAGTACGATCCACTGAAACTGTTTTATCTACTAAAACCGTAAACTCATCCATGCAAACTGATCTCGCTGTTAAAGTTCAAAGTCGAGCAGTGTCCACTGGAGAGGTAATCGAATCACCACGCTCGCCAAAATTGACAACGAAATCCGGATATATGCAAGTGCAATCTTCCGTACCAGTACATGTTAAACCACAGACCGGTGAAAAGTACTGCAACACTGAGAGCGTTCTGTTGACTCAAAAGTCGGTGCAAGTTACATCAGTGGAAAAACCAAGAGAAGTCATGGAGATAGTTGTAGTTACCACCCAAACGGAAGCCATGGATGTGAAGGCAGAGCTGACTTGTGAGTACATTGAAAAGGCAAAGGAAATGACGACCTCATCAGCTGTATTCGATAAACCAGCTATGGGTTCAACTTCTACTATGACTGAAATGCTGATTGAGCCAACAAAACCTGCCGTCGTGTTCTCAACTCCCCCTCTACAACTACCAGAACCAATTCACATGAAAATTGCAGCATCCGAATGTATACCACGCCTTAGCGATACAATTATTGAGGCTCCATCAATCTCAATAACTGAAGCAGTGGTTGAGTCAGTCAAGCAAACACTTGATGTCCCAACAAACACCTTGACAATAGAATGCAGTGATAGAAACATCCAAACACAGAGTGTGGTTTCAACTAAGAAAACAGAGGTTGCTCTCAAACCTGTCCAACCCTCAGAAGTAACATCTAGTATTGGTGGTCCAGTACTCAAAAATGAAGGTATCTCTGCCGTAGCAGAAGAACAAACTACTACCATTACCTCTGTGACCGAGGCTCCGGTTGTAAAGGTTTCAACTAGGAGCGTTGGTATCACGCCTGATGCAGCTCCAGTTGGCCTTAGTCGTGGTACAGAAACTGTGGCCATGGAAGTAACTGTTCCAATTATCAAGCCTGAACAAGTAATTGTAACTCGTGAAGCGCCGCCAATTGAACGCCCTCGGTTGAGATACGGAAAGGAACAAACTCCAAAGGTGCCAACATCGAAGGTGAAGTATATTGCTGTGGGAACTCCTGTACAAGTTAAGACTGTCATGAAACTTGGAGAAGTCCAAGCTGTTCAGGAAATACCCATATCTGGAGCCACAAGTAGCCTCATAGAATCAATACCTACCATTGAGAGAGTGCAGGTGTCCACAGTGGAGCAGATGGTAGAAAAACCAAAAGAAGTTGTCTCCGCCATACCAATGGTATTGAAGGCAACTTCAACATCGTCAATACAAGTTTCTCCACCGGAGGGTAGATCAACAGCAACTATAACAGAGAGTCGAATTGAGCCAACTAAACAAGTCGTTGTCCACGCTTTCGCTCCAGCTAAGCCTCTGGAAATCGCATCCACTGGTTTGGATATCGGGCAGACAGATACACAGACTGACGTACACAGCGAGGGTTTGCTAACAACTGTATCTTCAGTAGTTGAGCTCCCTATCCGTCAATCTGAAGTAACAATAGGAGCAGAAGTCAAATATTCGGATGCTCAAACAACAGCAGAAGCTGAAGAACTCAAAACACTTGTGTCTTCTTGGGCAGAAGAAGTGATCATCAGAACAATACCTGCACCAGTTGTAGAAGCACCACCACCATTGCCAATGACACCAATTCTCACGTCTGTAAGATACAGAGGAGTGCAAACGCTTGGAAAGAAGCATCTTGAAGCTGCTTCAGGCACAGAACCCACAGAATACAAGACATCTCTTTCTGGTAGACTAGAGGCAGTGAAATCTATGAACATTCACGAGGCCCAAACGATTATTGAGGAGCAAGCAGTTAAGCCTGCAATGGTTTCGACAGGAATTCAACCAATTGAAGAAAGTGTGGCTCCAATCGAAGTTGCGAAACAGTCCTCAGTTACGACTGAGTGGGTTGTAGAACTTAAGGACAGATCGTTGCTAACTGAAACTCCATCAACTACGGATGTTAGTACCACAGAGCCGACTCTTGAAATTCACTCAGTGGTGTCCTCAGCGCTTCAGGCAGAACCTGAACAAATTATTAAAGAAGTAGTGGCTGAACCAGTAGTTATGGCGGCACCACCTGTAGCGATGCGATTCGGAAAAATGCAGACACAAATCCAACAGTATAACAGTACTGCAACAATGACTTCTCGCGAATTCACATCTACCCAACCTCAAATTGTGACTGTAGCGAAACCCAAAGTAAGTGACTTCGCAGGACAAGTGTTCATCGGAGCTGAAATCCGTGATGCCGTATCGGGTGTTTCTGGAGTTCCAGCCACGCAACATGAAGATGCAGTGACACAAGTTGAGATAGAACAGCTGATTACGAAAACGTCATCTCATGTTGAAGAAAAGCGAATTGTAAATGTCACCTCCTCAACAGAAACCCCATTAGTGGAAGCAACCACAACTGCGACAATGACTGAGGTTAGAATTGAACCAGCACAGCCTGTTGTTGTGCATTCGATTCCTCCAGCTCCACAGAAAATAATAGAGACTGAAACCATTGGAATTCAATGGCTTGCAGATTTAAAGGCTGTAGAAGTTCAAGCCGTCGGTGAGGTCAAGGAAAAACCCATAACTCTATCATTCGCATCCCAAGTAGATTTGATTCCATTCCAAACGGCAGTAACAACGCTTATTTCAGAAGTACCACGCTCAGATTACAGATCTACTGCAACTATAACGGAAACTATGGTGGAACCTACCAAGGTTTCAGTTCAGGCTATTCGACCACCTCAGTCTTCTCCGATAACCACCTCGAGTAAATTGTACCTGGACCAAATCAATACTGGAATCTCACCTCCAACAATGGAGCTTTCAACTACCGTGTCGTCAATTCCAAAAGTATCAATGAGTTCACTCGGTATCATGACTGAACTAATGGCTGTGCAAGCCGATGGATGGACTCAAGCAGATTACGTGGAACCTGAGACAGTAATACAGAGTCGAATAGACATATCCACAGTTGAAACAGCACCCCCGGTTCAACCTACAATGGTCCGAATTGGCGGTTTGCAGACACCCTACCAAACACGTCACGAGGGAGTAACATCAGAAGTAGAAGTGGAAAAACCACTTGCTAAGGTAGAAATCTCTTCCGCCCAATGCCCTATCCCAGCTAAACTCACTCTAGAAACAGCTACTTCTCAATGTATTTACATTCCTGAACGCTATCAGGCTCCTACAAAAGAAGTGCCTCCACCAAAGGCAGTCATGCGCACCCATGAAGTACAAGTTTCCTTACCTCAAGCAGAGCTAATATCGAGTGCTTTGGAAGTAGGCCACGTTGACGTTGGTATTCCCGCTCCAGAAAGGAGGGCTGTGGTAAATCGAGGAGTTGAGACAATCACAATTGAAGAACCTGAGCCTACGATCAAACCTGTAGAACATATAATTGTTAGTGAGGCACCTCCGTTGGTGGTCCAGCCGTTGCCTGTCAAGATAAGATACGGTAAAATCGAAACACCGATTCAGGAACGATACGAGGTTATTCATGAGCAACCAGTGAAGTTGGAGAGTATGGCAATAGCTAATGCCGGTATCCGAGTTATTGACGAGGTGTTAGTACGATCCACTGAAACTGTTTTATCTACTAAAACCGTAAACTCATCCATGCAAACTGATCTCGCTGTTAAAGTTCAAAGTCGAGCAGTGTCCACTGGAGAGGTAATCGAATCACCACGCTCGCCAAAATTGACAACGAAATCCGGATATATGCAAGTGCAATCTTCCGTACCAGTACATGTTAAACCACAGACCGGTGAAAAGTACTGCAACACTGAGAGCGTTCTGTTGACTCAAAAGTCGGTGCAAGTTACATCAGTGGAAAAACCAAGAGAAGTCATGGAGATAGTTGTAGTTACCACCCAAACGGAAGCCATGGATGTGAAGGCAGAGCTGACTTGTGAGTACATTGAAAAGGCAAAGGAAATGACGACCTCATCAGCTGTATTCGATAAACCAGCTATGGGTTCAACTTCTACTATGACTGAAATGCTGATTGAGCCAACAAAACCTGCCGTCGTGTTCTCAACTCCCCCTCTACAACTACCAGAACCAATTCACATGAAAATTGCAGCATCCGAATGTATACCACGCCTTAGCGATACAATTATTGAGGCTCCATCAATCTCAATAACTGAAGCAGTGGTTGAGTCAGTCAAGCAAACACTTGATGTCCCAACAAACACCTTGACAATAGAATGCAGTGATAGAAACATCCAAACACAGAGTGTGGTTTCAACTAAGAAAACAGAGGTTGCTCTCAAACCTGTCCAACCCTCAGAAGTAACATCTAGTATTGGTGGTCCAGTACTCAAAAATGAAGGTATCTCTGCCGTAGCAGAAGAACAAACTACTACCATTACCTCTGTGACCGAGGCTCCGGTTGTAAAGGTTTCAACTAGGAGCGTTGGTATCACGCCTGATGCAGCTCCAGTTGGCCTTAGTCGTGGTACAGAAACTGTGGCCATGGAAGTAACTGTTCCAATTATCAAGCCTGAACAAGTAATTGTAACTCGTGAAGCGCCGCCAATTGAACGCCCTCGGTTGAGATACGGAAAGGAACAAACTCCAAAGGTGCCAACATCGAAGGTGAAGTATATTGCTGTGGGAACTCCTGTACAAGTTAAGACTGTCATGAAACTTGGAGAAGTCCAAGCTGTTCAGGAAATACCCATATCTGGAGCCACAAGTAGCCTCATAGAATCAATACCTACCATTGAGAGAGTGCAGGTGTCCACAGTGGAGCAGATGGTAGAAAAACCAAAAGAAGTTGTCTCCGCCATACCAATGGTATTGAAGGCAACTTCAACATCGTCAATACAAGTTTCTCCACCGGAGGGTAGATCAACAGCAACTATAACAGAGAGTCGAATTGAGCCAACTAAACAAGTCGTTGTCCACGCTTTCGCTCCAGCTAAGCCTCTGGAAATCGCATCCACTGGTTTGGATATCGGGCAGACAGATACACAGACTGACGTACACAGCGAGGGTTTGCTAACAACTGTATCTTCAGTAGTTGAGCTCCCTATCCGTCAATCTGAAGTAACAATAGGAGCAGAAGTCAAATATTCGGATGCTCAAACAACAGCAGAAGCTGAAGAACTCAAAACACTTGTGTCTTCTTGGGCAGAAGAAGTGATCATCAGAACAATACCTGCACCAGTTG